ATGTGGTGCTGAGGATCGAACCCAGTGCCCCATGCATGGTAGGTGAGCGCTGTACCTCTGAGCCACAACCCCAGCCCCTTAATATGTTTTTGTATGCAATTTGCCAGAATTTTACTGAGAATTTTTGTATCTGTGTTCATTAGGGATATTGGCCTGAAGTTTTATTTCCTTGATGTGTCTTTTTTTGGTTTGGTGATACTAGCTTCATAGAATGAATTTGGAAGGGTTCCCCTCCTTTTCTGTTTCATGGAATAATTTGAGGAAGATTGTTGTTAATTCTCCTTTGAAGTTCTTGTAGAACTTGGCTGAGAATCTGTCTAGTCCTGGGCTTTTCTTAATTGGAAATATTTTTGATGGTGTTTTCAATTTCATTGCACGAAATTTATCTGTTTAATTTGTGTATGTCCTTGTGATTCAGTTTGGGTAGGCCATGTGTCTCTAGGAATTTGTCAGTGTCTTTAAGATTTTATTGGAGTATAAATTTTCAAAATAGTGTCTGATTATTTTATGTATTTCAGTAGTGTCCATCATGATATTTTCTTTTTCATCATGAATTTTAGTAAATTGAGTTTTCTCTTGCCTTCTCTTTGTTAGTGTGGCTAATGGTTTATTAATTTTATTTATTTTATCAAAGAACAAACTTTTAATTTTGCCGATTTTTTGAATTCTTTTGTTTCAATTTCATATCTGATTTTAATTATTCCTGTCTTCTACTGCTTTTGGTGTTGATTTGTTCTTCTTTTTCTAGGGCTTTGAGATGTAATGTTAGGTCATTTATTCATTGACTTTCTATTCTTTTAACGAATGAGTTCAATGCAATGAACTTTCCTGTTAGCATAGCATTCATAATGTCCCAGAGATTTTGATATGTCATATCATTATTCTCATTTACCTCTAAGTATTTTTTTATTTCCTCCCTGATCTCTTCTGTTATTCATGAATCATTCAATAGCATATTATTTAGTCTCCAGATGTTAGAATAGCTTCTATTTTTTATTCTATCATTGATTTCTAATTTTAATCCATTATGATCTGATAGAATGCAGGGTATTATCTCTAGTTGCTTTGTGGCATAAGATATGGCCTATTTTAGAGAAGGATCCATGTGCTGCTGAGAAGAAAGTGTATTTGCTCATTAATGGATGAAATATTCTATATGTGTCTGTTAAGTCTAAATTATTGATTGTATTATTTAGTTCTATAGTTTCTTTGTTTAGTTTTTTTTAGGAGGTCCTATCCAGTAGTGAGAGAGTAGTGTTAAAGTCACCCAGTACTATTGTGTTGTGGTCTATTTGATTCTTGAAATTGAGAAGGGTTTGTTTGATGTGTGTAGATGCTCCATTGTTTGGGGCATAAATATTTACAATTGTTATGTCTTATTGATGTATAATTCCCTCAAGAAGTATGAAATGTCTTTCTTTGTCCCTTCTGATTAATGTTGGCTTGAAGTCTACTTTATCTGACATAAGGATAGAAACCTCTGCTTGTGGGCTGGGGTTGTGGCTCAGCAGTAGAGTGCTTGCCTTGCATGTGCGAGACCCTGGGTTTGATTCTCAGCACCACATAAAAATAAATAAGTGAAATAAAGGTATTGTGTCCAACCACAACTAAAAAATAAGTATTTTTTTAAGAGAGAGAGAGAATTTTAAAATATTTTTTAGTTTTCGGTGGACACAACATCTTTATTTTTTTATTTTTATGTGGTGTTGAGGATTGAACCTAGTGCCCCACGCATGCCAGGTGAGCACGCTACTGCTTGACCCACATCCCCAGCCCCTAAAAAATAAATATTAAAAAAGAGACCTCTGGGGGGATAGTAGAGGATAGGAAAGGTAGCAGAATACAACAGTTACTAGTATGGCATTATGTAAAAATGTGGATGTGTAACCGATGTGATTCTGCAATCTGTATTTGGGGTAAAAATGGGAGTTAATAACCCACTTGAATCTAATGTATGAAATATGATATGTCAAGAGCTTTGTAATGTTTTGAACAACCAATAAAAAAAAAAGAGACCTCTGCTTGTTTACATGATCCATGTGAATGATATGGTTTTTCCCATCCTTTCACATGCAATCTGTGGATGTGTTTGCCTATGAGATGAGTCTTTTGGAGACAGCACATTGTTGGGTCTTGTTTTTTAATCCAGGTTGCCAGACTATGTCTTTTGATTGATGAGTTTAGGTCATTAATGTTCTAGGTTATTATTGAGATATTTGTATTCCTGATCACTTGGGTTTATTTCTAGTCTTTAATTTGAATTAGTTTTTCCTTTGATTGACTATTCCTTTAGTGTAGTTCCTTCCTTTGTTGGTTTTCACTTTTCTTTCCCATTTCATCCTTATAGAATATTTTATTGAGAATGTTCTGTAGTGCAAGCTTTCTCAGTTGCAGATTCTTTTAACTTTTGTTTATCATGGAATGTTTTTATTTCATCTTCAAATCTGAAGCTTAATTTTGCTAGATATGGAATTCTTAGTTGGCATCATTTTCTCTTAGAGCTTGGTGTATGTTATTCTAGGACCTCCTAGCTTTGAGTGTCTGGGTTGAGAAATCAGCTGAGATCTGAATTGGTTTCCCCCTATATGTAATTTGATACTTTTCTCTTGTAGCCTTTAAAATCCCATCCTTATTCTGAATGTTATGCATTTTCATTATAATGTGTTTTGGTGTGGGTCTGTTGTAATTTTGTACATTTGGGGTCCTGTAAGCCTCTTGTATTTGATTTTCTATTTCATTCTTTGGGTTTGGGAAATTTTCAGTTATAATTTCATTGGAAATATTGTGTGTTCCTTTGGTTTGTATTTCCGTGCCTTTATCTATCCCTAAAAATCTTAAATTTGGTCTTTTAATGTTTTCCCATATTTCCTGGAAGTTTTGTTCATGGTTTCTTAACATCTTCTCACTGTGGTCAACTCTATTTTCAAGATTATATATTTTGTCTTCATTGCTTGAAGTTTTGTCTTCCAAGTAGTCTAGTCCATTGGTGATGCTTTCCATTGAATTTTTAATTTGGTTTATTGATTCCTTCATTATAAGGATTTCTGCTTGCTTTTTTCCCCCAGAATTTCTTCCTCTTTATTGAAGTGATCTTTCACTTCCCCTATTTACTCTCTGATTTCACTCTTAATACCATCCTTTACTTTGCAGATCAGTTTAACTATGTACATTCTAAACTCCTTCTCTGACATTTCTTCCACTGTGGTGTTGATGAATTCTGTTATTGGAGTATCTTGGTTTGTTTGGGAAGATTTGTTCCCTTGATTTTTCATGTTGTTTGTGTGTCTACCCATCTAGTAGTATGGATCCGAGGTAGTAGAATTTCTATCCTGCGGACTTGTAGTGTCCCGAAAGGTTTCAAGTACCTCATTTGCAGAGAAGTTGCCTGTCTACTTTCTTGGTTTCATATCATGGAGCATCCAGGAAAGCAACTTCCTCTATTCTGCCATCTTGAAAACCTCTCAGCACCCTTTCTTGATGTTTTAAATGGCTTCATATTTGTGAACCCAGGGGTGCTTAACCACTGAGCCACATCCTCAGCCATATGTGTGTGTGTGTGTGTGTGTGTGTGTGTGTATTTTTTTTTTTTGAGACAAGGTTTCATTAAGTTGCTCAAGGATTCACTAAGTTGCTGAGGCTGGTTTTGAACCTCCAATCCTTCTTGCCTCAGCCAACCCAGCTTTTGGGACTAGAGGTGTATGCCAACCACACCTGGTGCTTTTTTAATTTTGACACATGTTCTAGATAAGTTGATTAGGGCTTCACTTAGATGCTGAAGCTCACTTTGTATTTGCAATCATCCTGCCTCAATGTTCTGAGTCCCTGGGATTACAGGCAAGTGCTACCATACCCAGCTAAAATGGCTTTATATTTGGATATATTCTTGTTCCCTAACAAAAATGATAAAATCATTTAGAAAGAGACTAAGGCTTTTGTTCTCCATTATAGCTCCTGATATAATATTTTTAATTAGTTAATAATTTTGGTACTAGGAATTGAATGCTAAGTTGCTGAGAGTCTTGCTAAGTTGTTGAGGCTGGTTTCAAACTTGCAACACTCCTGCCTCAGTCTCCCAAATTGCCAGGATTACAGATGTGTGCTACTGTGCCCAGCAAGTTTTAGATTTATTTATTTGTTTATTATTTATTTATTTATTTATTTTTACAGTGTTGGGGATCAAACCTAGGGCCTCATGCATGCTAGGCAAGCACTTTATCACTGAGCTGCACCCCAGCATATAATGTTTTAAAATATAATAGCTATGATTTAAATGCTTATAGAAATGGCTCACATTGTAAAAGGTAAATATTAATATTTGACTAATTTTAGTAGTGACTGATGGACTGCTGTTCAGGTAGAGGTACCAGATGAAGATTTAAAAACCCATAAACACATAAAGCTGTGGCTGTGGCTCAGCGGTAACGCACTTGCCTGGCATGTTGAGGCACAGTGTTCGATTCTCAGCACCACATATAAATAAATAAATAAAATAAAGGTCTATCAACAACTAAAAAAAATTTAAAAAACCCCATAGAAACAATAAACCCTAAATTAAAATTGTTTACAAAAATGTATCAGTACCTTGGTCTTGTTTATAACAAGAAAAAATCTTGACTTTACTCATTTTGAAAAATCACAAGAAGCTGTTGGTAAGGTAGTTCCACTGCTCTACTAAACAATATTCTACGTTGCTTTCAGGATATAATTACTGTTGGTGTTATTATATAAATTTTTAAATTTATAATTTGGACAGACAAAATTAATTTTTGATTTTTTGCTTGAATAAAGGGCTTTTAGGTATTCACCATAATTTTATAAGAAAAAGGAGAAATAAATATAATAAATTCAATTGCTGTGATATAAATACCCCCAAATAAATGTTCTTTGTAAAAAGTCAAGTCTAGTGTCATATAAGTATACCATATAAGACAATTTCATAAAAATCCTATTATGTTATTGCCAAGTCAAAAATGTTTTACATAAATTTTATAATATCACAGGTTTACTCACAGAAATCCAACGCAAATCAAAGAGGCTTCGAAAGAACTTTAAGCAGAAGAATAGTTTTTACTATAATGTCAAAGTGGAAGAGGAAGGAGCAGACAACAAACTTGTATCATCCACCACTAGATCTGGAAAAGTGGCAAGACTTCTTCATTTATATTTTTTGTTTTTTCTTTAATGATGTTTTGTTTAATGAGTATGCACGAATAATTTCTCACTATACTTTCTAACAGACTCAGGAGAGCATGGAATTAACTCAAGAGGAACATCAGCTTATTAATAACATTGTGGCTGCACATCAAAAATATATGATTCCTTTGGAGGAAACAAAGAAATTTGTATGTATTACTAGCAAGAAATAGTTCATAACTTTTTAATAACATTTTATAACATTTTCTTTAGAAGATGTTTCTTTAACATTTCCTTTTTAATGACATTTTCTTTAAAAAATGAAGGACTAACACAACAGTTTAAAGTTTCAACAGTTGTTTAAATGAATATAATAATTTATTAATTGTAGTTCTTTCTATGGGTTAGCTGCAGGAATATACCAATCCTGAACTGAGCTTTTTACAACTCTTAGAGATAGCTATCCTTCATGTCCATGGGATGATGGAGTTTACCAAGGGACTTCCAGGTAATTACTTTGCTTTTGGAAAAAACTAAAGTAATTTACCACTTCAATTTTTTAAAATGTTCCATATTTTAAAGGAAGAGGGTATTGTAAGGAAAACAAAACCTCTATGTTTTCTACCAATGCCACTTCTAACTGCCAAAACATGTTTATGTCTGCCTGCTCCAATTAATCATGTGGGTGAAAATCTAAATATTTAAAAATATTATTCAAATACGTCAACATTTAAGAGTTAAGATAAACATATTTATTTGCATGTTTAATTTTTGGAAATGATTTGTTTTTGTTGTTTTAAATGAAACATGAAACAAAAAGAAGATTCCCTGTACAATATTAAAAATGTGGAGCCACTCTTGGCCAAAACTTAGCTATTTACATGCACACACGATTCATTATAAAATAAATTCTTCAAGTCTAAATAAACTATGTTTAATTTGTCCTTGCTAGAAGAAAAGGATTATCTGATGAAAGTGCCCCAAAGTATTACCATGTATAATTAAGAATTTTATTCAAATTTGAAGTTATAGATCATGATTATTGTAAGTGAACATTTAGAATTCATAAGAAAATTAATAATTTAAAACATTAAATACTATGTCTGAAAATTATTTTTCATTATCTATATATATTTTCATGATCTTTTATTAAAGGATTCGAAAAGTTGACTAGTGAGGACCAGACTGCACTACAGAAGGGATCAAAAGCTGAAGTGATTTTTCTTCATGTGGCCCAACTTTACAGTCAGAAAGTATCAACCTCCAAAAGTAAAATGGCTTTCTTTTTAATTTTAAAATTTATAATAAAATTTAGCAACAAATGATATATCTAAAATATTTTCATTTTATTTTACCAATTGGTATAGGAATAAATATCTTATGACAGATGTTTATAGTTCTAATACTATAAACATAATATTATGTTTGGTCTAGCTTTTTTTCCTTTCGTTTTTTTTTTTTATTGGTACTGGAGATTGAACCCAGAGGGGCTTTATCATTTCATCACATCTCCAATCCTTTATTTATTTATTTTTAAACTTAAGAGACAGGGTCTCACTGTGTGCTTAGGACATCACTAAGTTGCTGAGGCTGGCCTTGAACTTGCATTCCTCCTCCTGCCTCAGCTTCCCAAGTTGCTGGGATTATAGGTTTGTGCTTTTGTGCCTGGCTTGCTTTTTTGTATTTTAAAAAAGTCATTCCTTTTTTTTTGTATTAGAGTTTATGGTTATAAATAGTAGTTGGGTTAATCCTCACAAACTCATACATGCATGGAAATAGATTTCAGTTAATGATGCCCCCTCTTCCCCTCTTTTCTGTCCCATCCTTCCCCCTCCTTCTTCTACTCTACTAGACTTCCTTTCATTTGTCTTTGATTAATTAATTTGTATTTGATTGGTTCTCTAGTAATCTTATCATTCCTTCCCCCTTTCCTTTATTTTACTCTAGCTTCCACATATGAGAACATTTGACCTTTGAATTTCTGAGTTTGTCTAATTTCACTTAGTGTGGTATTTTTGATTTCCATCCATTTACCAGCAAATGTCATAATTTCATTCTTTTTAATGGCTGAGTAGAACTCCATTGTGTGTGTGTGTGTATCTCACATTTTCTTTATTCATTCATCTATTGACAGGCATCTGGTGGATTCTGTAATTTAGCTATTGTAAATTGTGCTGCTATAAACATTGATGTGATGGTGCTACTTCAGTATGCTGATTTTAGATCTTTTGGGAAAATAACGGAGAGTAGGATAGCTGGGTCATATGATGGTTCCATCCCTAGTTTTTTAAAATTTTTTATTGTTGGCTGTTCAAAACATTACATAGTTCTTGATATATCATATTTCACCACTTTTAGTTTTGTTAATTTTTTCAATAGTTTCTTTTGTTTCAATTTCGTTGATTTCTGCTCCGATTTTAATTATTTCTTGCCTTCTGCTACATTTGCTGTTGTTTTGCTCTTCCTTTTCTAGGGCTTTGAGATGAAGTGTGAGCTCATTTATTTGTTGGTTTTTCCTTTTTGGTTTTAACTATTTTATTTATTTTTTTCTTTTTTCTTTTTTTTTGCATTCTTTTTTTTATTGGTTGTTCAAAACATTACATAACTCATGACATATCATCTTTCATACATTTGATTCAAGTGGGTTATGAATTCCCATTTTTACCCCAAATACAAGTTGCAGAATCACATCGGTTACACATCCACATTTTTCCATAATGCCATATTAGTGACTGTTGTATTCTGCTACCTTTCCTATCCCCTACTATCCCCCCTCCCCTTCCCTCCCCTCTTCCCTCTCTACCCCATCAGCTGTTTTGGCTTTGTGTATCTCTGTTGTCTCTCCTTTGTGGTGGGAGATTATGCCTAGAGATGTTGGGCTTTATTGTACTTTAAAGCTGATTCATTCAATTTATAAAGGGCTTCCGGATTCTGTATGCATATAGTGATTTGTTGTTTGTTCTTAGGACTTTATGTTTAGGTTAGGTGCTATGAAGGTATAAGGGTTAGTATGTCTTGGCTACTTTAGAAGGTTGCTCTACTGAAGGGGGATACTAACCGTCGATTGGATCAGGGTGTTGGTAGTAGCTAGGTATTTAGGAGCCCTATAGACAGCCTCGAAACATTCACCTATTTGCATTTAGACAATTACACATAATGGAGGACGTAATGCTTGGGATGAAAGTTGGGGAGAAGGGGAAAGAAGGTGCTCTTAAAAAGAAAGAAGGAGAGGAAGATAGAATAGGGAGAATGGAAAGAACAATAAAACTTGAAAGGGGAAAGAAAGAAGGAAAAGGGGAGAGAAAAAATAGAATAAAATAAAATAAGAAATTAAATTAGGTCTTAGAGATCCATTTTCTTCTCTTCCCGTAGGCAGAGCTGTGCCCTCCGGGCTGAGTTTTGCCCTCTATGTGTCGACAGCAATCCCTGTAAGGCAGCTCCTGGGAGTCTCTCAATCCTGTTAGTCCAGAGTTGTTCCACTTCACCGGCCCCTCCTCCCCTTCCTCCTGCCAGCCAGCCAGGTCCTGCTCACCAGAGGCGGTTCCCAAGGATCTGGTTATACTTTCAGCCCCACTGCGTGCCCTATTTTCCGAACGACTGAGCATTCTCTCTACCATTCATCTAATCTCCAGTGCTGTGGAGCTGTGGTCTGGGAGTCAATAGTTTAGTTTTTCCAGACCCCTTTGGTGGGCACGCCCTGGGAAGCTGGCGGCTAAGACCTTGGGTGTCGCCACTGGTGGTAATGTGAGTTGGGGGTCGAGAATCCCCTCTGCTACCCTCAGCCCCTACAATCACGACCACTCCGCTGGCGGTAGGAGGAGTTGGGGGTCAGGAGTGCCCTCTGTTTCCCTCCGCCCCTACCGTCACGCCCTCTCTGTTGGCGGTTGGGGGAGTTGGGGGCGGGGAGTCTTCTCTGCTTCCCTCCGCCCCTAAAGTCACGCCCACGTCACTGGTGGTAGGGGGAGTTGGGGGTCGGGAGTCCCTTGGCCCTTACGGTCATGCCCACGGAGAGATTTTTGAAGTTTCCCGGTTGTTTGTATCTGGTGTTGGTGGGAGTCACACACCTGCTAAAGTAGATTCCGCTGGGAAGGAATCTCGTTGGCCGAACTCTGGTGACTTCCCCTCTCTGCTATGGCGGGCCCCTGGCTCCTTGCCGGAGAATCCGAAGGGAGGGGTGGGATTGGCTTGTCTCTGGTCTGACTCAGTCTCTGGTTTTAGCTCCCAGTTCACTATTTCATAAAGGCTTGGTTAGAGTCCCTTCACGTCGCCTCCTGAGCCGGGTGGGCGGGGCCTTTTGCCGGTTGGGCGGGGTCGTTCGCAGAGCCAGGCGGGCGGGGCCGTTTGCTGTGCGGGCAGGGCTGTTTGCAGTGCCGGGCAGGCGGGGGCCGTTCGCCATGCGGGCGGGAGCTGTTCACCTGGGGGGGGGGGGGGGGGGGGGGGGTGGCGGGGCCCGAGGGGGGGGGGGGGGGGGTGGGGCGCCGAACCGCCGGGGGCGGTTCACAGAGCCGGGCCGGCAGGAGCCCGGGCAGGCAGCGGCTGTTTGAACGTTCGCCGCCGGGCTAGCAGCGGCCTTTCGGCGGCGGCCAGCGGGACTGGGCCCCTGCGCCTCGTAGCCGAGACAAACTGACACTTCCAATAAACTTACCAATTCCCGGCAGGTCTCCTTTCAGCAGAATTTTGCTAGAAGTTTCTCAGCAGGTAGCATGTAGGTGTATTAATGGGTCTCTCTGATCCCATTACTGTGGAGTTATTGAAAGTGCTGCCTCCTCGCCGGCCGCCATGTTGGGTCCCCGCAGTTTTTCCTTTTTTTGAGGAATGACCTCCAGGCGATGAATTTCCCTCTTAAAATTGCTTTCATTGTGTCCCATAGATTCCGATATGTTGTGTCTGTATTTTCATTTATCTCTAAGAATTTTTTGATTTCCTCCTTTATGTCTTCTGCAACCCATTGATCATTCAGTAACATATTGTTCATTTTCCATGTGATATAGGATTTTTCCTTCCTTCTTTTATCATTGATTTCCAGTTTCATTCCATTATGATCAGATAAAATGCATGGTATTATCTCCACCCCTTTATATTTACTGAGGGTTGCCCTATGGCATAATATATGGTCTATTTTTGAGAAGGATCCATGTGCTGCTGAGAAAAAAGTATATCCACTTGATGATGGTTGATATATTCTATATATGTCAGTTAAGTCTAGGTTATTGATTGTGATATTGAGTTCTATAGTTTCTTTATTCAACTTTTGTTTGGAGGATCTTTCCAATGGTGAGATAGGTGTGTTGAAGTCACCCATAATTATTGTGTTGTGGTCTATTTGATTCTTGAACTTGAGGAGAATTTGTTTTATGAACGTCGCAGCACCATTATTTGGTGCATAAATATTGATAATTGTTATGTCTTGTTGGTGAATGGTTCCTTTTAACAGTATATAATGTCCTTCCTTATCCCTTTTGATTAACTTAGTCTTGAAGTCGATTTTATTCGATATGAGGATGGCCACCCCTGCTTGCTTACGAGGACCGTGTGCGTGGTATATTTTTTCCCAACCTTTCACCTTCAGCCTGTGTATGTCTTTTCCAATCAGATGTGTCTCCTGGAGGCAGCATATTGTTGGATTTGTTTTTTTAGTCCATGTTACCAGCCTATGTCGCTTTATTGGAGAGTTTAAGCCATTAACGTGTAGAGTTACTATTGATATATGGTTTGTACTTCCAGCCATGTTTGATTATTTATCTTCTTTTTTTTTTAATTTAGTTTGTTTCTCCATGATTAGCTTTCCCCCCACCCTCTGTCTTTACAGAGGCACTTCCCACTGATGGTTTTGGTTATTGTTTTTCATTTCTTCCTTGTGTAGTGTTTTGCTCAAGATGCTTTGCAATGCTGGTTTTCTGGCTGCAAATTCTTTTAGCTTTTGTTTATCATGAAAGATTTTTATTTCGTTGTCGTACCTGAAGCTTAATTTTGCTGGATACAGAATTCTTGGTTGGCATCCATTGTCTTTCAGTGTTTGAAATACGTTGTTCCAGGATCTTCTCGCTTTCAGCGTCTGTGATGAAAAATCCGTTGTTAACCTTATTGGTTTACCCCTGAATGTAATCTGCCTCCTTTCTCTTGTAGCTTTTAATATTTTCTCTTTGTTCTGTATATTGGATATCTTCATAACAATGTGTCTTGGCATTGGTCTACTGTGATTTTGTGTGCTCGGTGTCCTGTATGCATCTACAATGTGTATATCCGTTTCCTTTTTTATTTCTGGAAAG